TTTGAGCAACACAAGGCAACAAAATGACTGTTCTAATGTCTATTACATTATGCCACTACTGCAAGCTGTTTATGCTGAGATCTTGTTTTTATTCTAACACTATCTGAGTTACCCAGCCTGGGTTAGGTATTTTTAATGCTATTTATTATAAATTATCATTATTTGTATTTGGATTTTATGAATTAGAAAATGCATAAGGATGTGGGTAAACTACAACTCCCATCAGCATGTATAATTGCCCCCAAACTGTACCATGATGGGTAAGTGTGCCAAGTTTGGTCCCGATCCATCACTGGTGGAGTTCAGAATGCTTTCTGGATGTGGGTGGACTGTAACTCCCATCATCATCTGCCATCCCCCCCCCCCCCGCCAACCCCATCAGTATTTAAAGTTGGTCATAGGGTATGTGTGTGTTCTGTGTGCCAGGTTTGGTCCAGAGCCATCATCGGTGGGGTTCATAGTCCTTATGTGTTTTCTACATATAAAAATAGATACATACATACATACAAACATAGATTAGATAAATTCGTGAATGAATATGCTTCCACTGTTAAAAGAATATGCTTTCAGCCAAGCAGTCTGAACTTTCAACCCTAGCCAATTTGACCCCAATACCCCCATTGCTTTATTGATTTCAATTACTGGCAAGCCACCTCTGCGTATACATTGTCCAAGAAAACCCTGTGACATCCGTGTGGTTGCCATAAGTTGACGGGCAACTTGAAGGAACATACATACTCATTCACATTCCTTGAACTATAGGGATGATGATAATACTAATTTAACTTTTTAGGGCTACTGTAAAAATGACTAAGAAAATGACAGCATAAGAGAAGCACAATGTAATGTCTATATTGCTTTATGACTTCAATATCTTTGAGGGATGCGGGATGGATCATAGCAGACACTCTACATCTCTATATCTGTATCTATAGATATAAAGATATATTGATTATCAGGATAATTAACCGGATTACTCATATTTATTTATTTATTTATTTGCTGCATTTGTTGACCGCCGTTCTCAGCCCTAGGGCGACTCACGGCGGTGTACAACATATAAAAGACAAATTTACAATAAAGCACTAACACAACGAAATATCATCCTAACTATCAATAATACACTAACAATATAATTACACTAAAATAATCCGCTCCGTCTCATCGTAGAATCATAACCAATCTCGTAATCCATATTCCGTTCCAGTCGTCATTGTCGATTATTATAGCACTTAGTTAAATGCCTTCTCGAATAACCATGTCTTTAGGCTCTTACGGAATGACATAAGGGAGGGCGCCTGTCTGATGTCTACAGGGAGGGTGTTCCACAGCCGGGGGGCCACCACCGAGAAGGCCCTCTCTCTCGTCCCCGCCAGACGTGCCTGTGAGGCAGGCGGGATCGAGAGAAGGGCCTCCCCAGACGATCTCAAGGCCCTCGTGGGCTCATAGGCCGAGATGCGGTCCGAAAGGTATTTTGGGCCGGAACCGTTTAGGGCTTTGTAGGCCAAACACCAGCACCTTAAATTGGGCCCGGTAGCAGATCGGCAGCCAGTGGAGCTGGAACAACAAGGGCGTTGTGTGCTCCCTGCGTCCCGCTCCTGTTAGTAACATGGCTGCCGCGCCCTGATGAAGAGTAACTCCATAAAAAGAGCTTCTTAATGGTTATACAACTTTGTGGTTTTCTTAAAAAAAAATTCCAGAGGAGGGGGGGGGTGACCAAAATTATCAAAGGTCTAGAAACCATGACCTGTGAGGAGCAGCTTATGCAGCTGGGTATGTTTAACCTGGCAAAAAGAAGGTTGAGAGGAGATGTAATAGCCATGTTTAGGTATTTGAAAAGATATCATACTGAAGTTGGAGCAAGCTTATTTTCTGCCGCTCCAGAGTGAATTCAAAGAGATTATACCTAAATGCTAGCCACTTCACAGTGGAATATGCTGCCCTTGAGTATGGTGAAGTCTTCTTCTCTGGAGGTTTTACAACAGAGGCTGAATTGCCATCTATTTAGAGTGCTTTGATTGTATATTTCGGCATGACAGGGAGCTGGACTGGGTGGTCCATGGATGTCTTCCAACACTATGATTCTATATGTATCTAAAACTGCTTGTACCAACTGAGATTACAGTATGATGAGCAAATAATAATTGTTGGGAAGGACAGTCATGCTTCTAGGTGAGATTTTGGTGGGGAGAGCCAGTCATCTCTAATCCTTGATGGAGAAGCTTTGAGGAGTCAGGTCAAGGGAAGGGGAAACTGGTGATCTTCCCTGTAGACTTGTAATTTATGTGGTGGGTTAAGTAAAGGTGAAGTGAACAGAAAATTAATATGGACACCAAGAAGTAATGGATTAGGTATTTCAGGTTTGCAATTTTATTTAAATGTTCTCATGCAAATGTAAGGAAGAGTAGAGAGAAAAATAATACATTTAAGATGTGAGATAAGCTAAAAGTTTTCCCCTGACATTAAGTCTAGTCGTGTCCAACTCTGGGGTGTGGTGCTCATCTCCATTGAGATGGTGGTGGGATCGAGAGCAGGACCTCCTCCACAGATCACAATGCTCATGCTGATTTGTATACAGATCTGCTGTTTTTCTAATAGTCTGGGCTCAAATCATTTAGGGCTTTAGAGGTAATAACCAGTACTTTGTATTTAGCCTGGATATGGACCAGCAACCAGTGGAGCTGCCATAACATGGGAGGGGTTCTCTCCCATTAGTAACTTGGCTGCAAATCTCTGAACCAGTTGCAGCTTCCAAACTTCCTTCAAAGGCAGCCCCACATAGAGACCATTGCAGTAATCCAGATAGGATGTGACTAAGGGACTACCATGGCCAGATCTGACATCTCAAGGTATGGGCCCTGCTGGTGCACACATTTTAATTGTGCAAAGGTGCTCCCGGCCACTGCTGACACCTAGGGTTCCAGGGTCAGCGATGAATCCAGGATCACCCTCAGACTGCGAACCTGTGTCTTCAGGGGGAGTGTGACCCCATCCAACACAGATTGTAACCTCACACTCTGATCCACCTTTTGACTGACCAGGGGCACCTTTGTTTTGTCTGGATTTACTTTAGACTTTCAACTTATTTTCAATGTGTTTGATTCATTGCAGCTGGTAGTTCCCACCTCATTGAAGTGCTGAAAACATCCCAGGCTTTAACCCAAATTGTTCAAAATGCTGCACCAATTTTTGGTATGGGATTTGGAATTTAGGATTGATCCTTTAACATTTTAGGTTAACACCTAGAGAAGATTCTCAGTCTTCCTTAAATATAGAAGTCACATGCCACTGCCTTGTTTGTTAACTTCTCTTTGCGGGTCCTTCCTTCTGTTTTTGTATTTGATATGTAGGATTTCCCTTCCCATTGGAACAGGTAAAGGTAAGGTAAAGGTTTTCCCCTGACATTAAGTCCAGCCATGCCTGACTCTGGGGGTTGATGCTCATCGCCATTTCTAAGAAAAAGAGTGTTGTTTGTAGACACCTCCAAAGTCATGCGGTTGGCATGACTATATGAAGCGCCGCTGCCTTCCTGCCAGAGCGGTACCTATTGATTTACTCACATTTGTATGTTTTCAAACTGCTAGGTTGGCAGAAGCTGGGGCTGACAGTGGAAGCTCACTCTGCTCCCTAGATTCAAACCTGCAACCTTTTGGTCAACAAGCTCAGCAGCTCAGCGGTTTAACCCACTGCGCCACCGGGGGCTCCTATTGGAACAAGCATAGCTTTAAAAAATCTACTCATTTGCTATATAACTAACTAATTGATTGGAAACTCAGTGTGGAAAGTTTTTGAATATTTAAAACTGAATTTCTGCATTGATTTTTTTCTGATCAGAAACCTTGAAACAACCCCATGCTAAGCTGCATACATTGGGTCTGAGTAACAGCTTGGAAGCTTCACAGGGTCAACTCTAGTTAGAACTTAGAAGGGAAACTATAAATGAACACCAGGTGCTGTAGGAAATACTTCAGAGGAAGGAAATGGCAAAACCACTTCTGAGTGTCTCTTGCCTAAGGAAACCCTATGGAATTCATGGGATCACCATAAGTAAGGAGGCCACTTTAAGGTGTGAGCACATGCACAAAACAGTTTTGGTGACTAGCCTGCCAGCTTCCTGTGGTGTACACAGCAGTGTTTCTATTCTTCTAGAACTGTTTTATCCATTCCCACTGGGTACTCAGGGTGGAAAAAGAATAAAAATAGCAGTTCCTTTGAAAGAAGAAGAAAAAGAGAAGGTTAACTTGGTTACCCCAGATGGTTTAATGTTATTTCTGCATCCTACCCTTTAACAATAAACACTGCATCCTTCTGTATTTTCTCAAAGTAACTTCAGAGCAAACAAACACTTAGTTATTTCACCAAGAAAATAAGCCTGCTTTTTTATTGCTGACTATATGGACAAACCAACTCAAACTAAAACTGAAAATCAAAACAAAGGAAAGTAAAAAAACCAAAAAGAAGTTGTGATAGATGATTCCATTCTCCTTAATTATATATCACAACTAACTTGGATCAGATAAGTGAATACGATGATCGCGTAAAGGAGGATTGGTTTTCCATGATCAGATAAGACATTATTGAATATGGCTCATAAGGCAAGTTATAACCTCCCTAACCATTGCATGATGTTTTCCAATATTCACTCCAAACCAGTCTCAAACTACTGTTTTTTGTTGTTTTTTTTTAAAAAAGGGAGGTGGACTTGAATAAGCCTGAGTTTTTGAGCTTAAGTGAGAGTTTCTTATCCTGAGTGTATACTCAACTTGCCTTGTTTAATGGATCTTCTTCTTAAATAGCTCCTACTCCTTTATTTTTTTTGAAAAGCTAGCATTTAGATTGAGACTATACTTTCATATCACAAACTAAAAAGATGAACTTCAAAAATCAAGAGAAAAAAAGCACAGTTTGAAGGAAGAGATTGTAGCCTTTTGCCCCTCATGTAAAAACACATGAGACTGAATTTTGTTTTTTTTTAATCTGCTTGCTTGTCTTGGTTATAGGAAGGAGCAAGAGATTGATTCCAAAGATGCTATCATACTGCATCAGTTTTCTCGGCCAAACAATGGTATTCCCAGTTTATCTCCTTTCTGTTTGAAAATGGAGACCTACCTGAGGATGGCGGATTTGCCCTACCAGGTAAATATGTGCATGTTATGTTACATTGTACTTTTGGCTACTTACAAGTGTATTGATGCTATTTTTATAGCCTTGCCTGGGCAATGAGAGTTTTTGTTTCTCTAAAAAGTAGCTCTAATGCGAAAATTCTCACATAATACAACTATCACAGAACTGAGCCACCTCAAACACACACTTGAGTATTGTTTAGTGCAGGGGTCCCCAAACTAAGGCCCGGGGGCCGGATATGGCCCTCCAAGGTCATTTACCCGACCCTCGCTTAGGGTCAACCTGAGTCTAAAATTCTTGAAAACACACAACAATCCTATCTCATCAGCCAAAAGCAGGCCCACACTTTCCATTCAAATACTAATAAGTTTATATTTGTTAAAATTGTTCTTAATTTTAATTTTTGTATTTTTAAAGTGTTTTTTTCTTGACATTACAAATAAGATATGTGCAGTGTGCATAGGAATTCATTCATGCTTTTTTTCCAAATTATAATCCGGCCCTCCAACAGTTTGAGGGACTCTGACATGGCCCTCTGTTTAAAAAGTTTGAGAACCCCTGGTTTAGTGGATAGTATTTCCATCTTTGGAAAGCTTAGACCTGGAACAAATACACTCATCTATATAAATAAAAATGCAATGTCCGTTTGTGGGATTAATATAACTCAAAAACCACTGGGCGAATTGACACCAAATTTGGACACACTACACCTATCAGGCCATTAAGTGACCACCATTCATAAAAACACTGAAAAACACAGTGGAAGAGATTTTAAAAGCCAAAAAAACAAAAAAAAACATTACAATGCATGTGCAAAACCACATATATACACATATACACAAATATATACACATATTTACATACACAAAACACATATATACAGACTGGGCCACAGCAACGCATGGCAGAGGATGGCTAGTCCTTAATATATACCTTTTGAAATGCAGGTGGGTTTAGATTGATGTACTTTCGAAAAGGCAATCCCATGTATAATGAAGTGTCATTATAATGTCATGAAAGAGTGCTATTTTGTGTGGTTGTGCCTTTGGTACACAAACAAAAAAATTAAAAATTTGACTGGCAAAGGTTGATTGATCTTATGCATCTTCGTTGATTAATCTGTTGTAGATGTCCATCGTGAAAAACAGCAGTTTGAAGGAAGCATACTTCCCAGTTAAAATAACACTGAGAGAAGATGCACATTTAGATCTCTCTCCCACTATCTAGTATTTTTATGCATTTTGTGATTTCACAGGTCTTGCTACTTCCAGATTTCACAGTTATGTAGACTCTCCTAATCCCTTATTGACAGAGTATCTGTCTAGAACTGCAGTGTAGTCATCATGCAATGTGGTCTGAAATCTAAAGAGCAGCCCAGGGGCACAAGAGACGGAAGTGCACATGGCCAGAAAGTATGCAAAAGGATCTTGTAGCACCTTAGAGACGAAATGTTTGTCTTTAATGTGTTACATGATCTCTTTGCATGCTGACATTCTCAACTAACATGGTTATGTCCTTGAATTACAGCCAGAAAGGTTATGAAGATCGATAGAAAAGTATCGAAGGAATAGACAAGAGAAAATGTGAATAACTGCAGCAGGGAGGTTACTGTGGGAAGAAAAGACTCCGTTTCAAAAACAAACAAAATGATGAATCATTTAGATTTGCCCAGAGCTTTCCTAAACATCCGATTGTACTGGTACATCGTGTGCCTGGCTTTTCCAGCTTCTTGTTGCAGTCCAATCACTGTTGAAAAGTAATTATTTCCTTACTATCCTCTGTTTATGCTACAATTTTGCTTTCTGTTATGTATGCAGAGAAATAAACTGTTTGGTTAGTTTTAATTTATGTTTTGACTAGATTGGCAGTTGACATTCAAGATGTTCTTATTCACTATGGTTGATGCCCATGCCAAGATTGCTCTTTCATGTGACCCTTATACAAAATAGCACTATATGCAAGGTTTACTGGACTGTAGTCTCTGCATCCACCATTCTAAACTGTGTTGAGAAAAACTAAGCAGATGCCTGGTATTGATCCCTTTTTGGAGAGATAGGGATTGAACCTGATGCTTCTTTGCCCTAAGTGTGAGAAGGGAAACTTTGATTTTAAACGCTTAGAAAAAGTTACTTTTGGAAACCATGACTCCAGGGCCGTAGCCAGAAAAAAATTTCGGGGAGGGTTGACAATTTCAGGGGGGGAGGGGTTGAAAATTTTGGGGAGGGTTGAAAATTTCGGGGGGGGGGATTGAAACCTGCCTCCTACCTCACGCTGAAGCAAAGAGCACAGCAGGGGGCAGAGCAATTTTCAATAGCCTGCAGCTCCGCCCCTGTCAACCACCTCCACCAAGTCTGGCCTCCTTAATGAGAGCATTCAACACACACACCCTCAACTTGGTTGCTTCACTACATCGGCTATTGCTGCAAGTAATGACAGTGTGAATAAATTGTAAATATTTGCTTGAGATAGTGCTTGCAGTTCTGGAGGGACTCTTAATTTTTTGCGTCTCATAGACTTAGCAGCATGGGTATTGCGTTAACCAGTTAAAATTCATGAGTAAACCAGGTTTTTTTAAAAAAAATCTGAAACATTTGGGGGGGGGGGGTTGAACCCCTAAAACCACCCCCTCACTACAGGCCTGCATGACTCCTAGAATCCCTCCCTTCAATTCTGGAAATTGTTGTCCAAAAAAGTAATTTTTCAAGGCTGTGTAAACTGAACTTTAAGAGAGCTGTCCAAGGTACTGAATCCTATCTTCACATAGTGTCAGCATGCAGGATAGCTTCTATAAGGTTCAAGGGAAAACCTAGGGTAGGTCCACTGCGTCAGTCAAGACTCACCTTCTGGGCAAATCTGGACAAGAGGAAGGGACAAACAACAATGATCTTTTTGAGTTTGAGGAGCTGGGGATTGAGGCAAACGGGGGGGGGGGGGTTCTCTCCAGTAGGAGGCAGCAGATGCTGAAGATCATTAACATCATTAATCCAGGAAGAAGAAAAACCAAGGAAATATTGGATCCTTTTTACTGGTTTTTTAAGTAAGAGACATTGGCCYAATTAGACACTTCATATCTGAAGAAAGCTGCTGTACACCTCTCAGGCACTTTTTGGCAGTTTTCTTGTCTTCAGTTCTCCTTCTTGACTACTAGTAATATTCTTTTTACTAGTGTTTACATTTTCTGGATCTTGAACTGGTAACATACTTTTAGCTGACTTCATTTATCTGGACTTGTTGAATGACTCCCAGACTGGCTGATGGCCACTTACTTCCTCCTCCTGCCAGATACTCTCAAATGACTTGGACTGAATTAACTACTTGGCAGTTCTTGTATTCTAACTATGTGATTCCTGAGGAACTTACTGTTACCACTGGTTAGTAATGTCAGAGCTGGCAGTGCTGACCATCTCTTGGGGCAATTCTACACAGATTCAATTTGGAAGTGGATTAAAACAAGCCAGCTTCACTGTGCAGCACCTACACAAAGACATCAGGGACTGGTTTGAGACTGGGATGGTGGCCACAGTATCTGCTGATTGTGGATTGGAACCAAAACCAGGAACTGCAGTATCCATGGCTAGTCATCTGCTGGAAAATATATTTTTTAACCAGTCCACTGAGGTGTACCTATTCATGTCAGTATTTGGGATCACATTAGTATTGAGCTCTGCATGGAATACACTGCAGGGCATTATTTGGCCTATTTCGGATTTTCTGATGAGTTTTTTTTAAAAAAATATACTGTTTCTGATGTGCTGTACACTGCAGTGTGCAATGGTGGTTTATTTTCTGGACACCCAGTTCTTGAGCCAACAGTGAATTGCATTATACCATCTGTGTAGAACTGCCTTTGTTCCTTTAAACTCTTTCACACACCTAGAACAGTGAATAGTAGGCTCATTGTTGTCTATATGAATCGCTCAATTAGAAAAACTGACTACAGAATTTGAAAGTGTGTCATCTTTAAAGTTGGGTTTTCAAATTTTATCCTAGGGAATATCACCAAAGAAGGCAATTCAACTTGGATAGCCAGCAGACCTTCAGAGAATAAGCAGAACTTCTGCCAAATAAAGTGCAAGTTCAGCTAGATTTCTCTGTGTGTTCCCACAAGACAGGCAAGCTCTGCATTTGACACTTTAGCTATACACAGGCATCTTATCTGTAATTATTCCCTCTTTTCTCTAGATCTAAGAACTTGTAATAAAATTAAAAAAACCCAAATACATCTTGGATCTAAAGTCAAGGATCAAATAATATGAACAACAAGCAAACCTATGATAAATAATCAACTATCTGCTGATACATCCAAGCTCAAGAGCAGACAACTTGCTGTTTATGCAGCTAGTCTCCTGGGATCTTAGTCTAGGATCTCAGGTGGCAAGAAAGGCCTTTGTGTGAAACCCTGAAGTATCACTTCTAATTAGAATTGGAAACACTACTAACTAGGCTAAGAAAGTCCAATAGATATCTTAGATCAGATTAGATCTTTGGACTTTCTAAGACCAATTAGCATTTTCTGTCCAGGAGTGATGCTTCAGGGTTTCCACACAGTTTACTGCATTTGTGTGGTCCATCAATATTGCACTATTTGGAAGAGTGCAGTATCAACCTGTATCTTGCAATATCAACCTACATCTGCTCTCTTCAAGACCTTGTTCTCCCTAGGAAATTCTGCTTAAGGGAAAGGTAAGCATCAGGGTCCTCTGAACTGCAGCTCCCAGCAGCCCCAAACTCACACTGAGTTTGTGTAAGAAACGCAATACACTGCAGTTCAGAACATCTGGTAAAAATTTCTCACCCCTGCTGAGGTGAGAAAGGTCCAAGGCACCTTTGCTTTGCTTCCCCTCAAGATTGTGTCTTTGATAACAATAATATGTTTGTTACAAATGGCTCTTGGTCATTAAAAAAACACTCTCTTTTCCTTTGTTGACAAAGAAGGGTGTAGCATATAGATGCTATTACCAGTGAAGTGGCCTCTGTGGAAAATTTTGTATTGGAAAACTTCCCAGAAAATGTTCTGCTGCCCTCATCTGATAGAGAACCGATTTAGCAGGCTGAGGTGACTTTTAAAACCTCTTTTTCAAAACATAGGTTTGAAATATTACATTTTGGACTGCAGCTTTCAGAATTCTCTCATCTAGACAATGCTGGCTGGGTGGCTTTAGAAAGTAAGATGCCCGAGATGAAACCTTTTCTAAGATCTGCAAGAACAGTATGCTCTGCTAATATATAATTTATAAATATATTTATAACCAAATTGTAAACATTTGATTCTCCTAAAAGCCAAAAAAAGCAAATACATTATTTGCTTACAGAAAACAAATCAGTAATTACCCTTCATTTAATTTCAATTTTAGAGTCAAACAAATTAAAAGTTTCACTTGGAAATTGTCTTGATTGAAATGCTTACAAATATGTTGTTGTTGTTGTTTATTCGTTCAGTCACTTCCGACTCTCTGTGACTTCATGGACCAGCCCATGCCAGAGCTCCCTCTTGGCCGTTGCCACCCTCAGCTCCTTCAAGGTCAAGCCAGTCACTTCAAGGGTACAATCCATCCATCTTGCCCTTGGTCGGCCCCTCTTCCTTTTTCCTTCTATTTTCCCAAGCATCATCATCTTCTCCAAGCTTTCCTGTTTCTCATTATGTGGCCAAAGTACTTCATTTTGCCTCTAATATCCTTCCCTCCAATGAGCAGACTGGCTTTATTTCCTGGAGTATGGACTGGTTTGATGTTCACATGGTACAAGGCACTATCAGAATTTTCCTCCAACACAGTTCAAAAGCATCTATCTTCCTTTGCTCAGCCTTCCTTATGTTCCAGCTCTCACATCCATAGGTTACTACAAGGAATATCATTGCTTTAACTATGCGGATCTTCGTTGCCAGTGTGATGCCTCTACTCTTCACTATTTTATCGAGATTGGTCATTGCTCAATTTGATAAAAGGTCCAGAGAATGTACAGTGCCTTGACTGCCTTGGAAGAAAGACAGGTCATAAAAGTAACAGATAGAATAAATACAATAAATAGTCCTAGCGCCCCCCTCCCTTCAGTGTTTGGATTTCACTGAAATGATGTTGGCAGTAAACTTTGTTGACACATTTTAGATTGTTCATTGCACCCAATTCCCATGCTGATAACCTTTTAAAATATGCTGATCTATTAATTAGGCTTTACACAGTTGCTGACCAGTTGCCTCTAAGGAAACCCATGAACTGTGAATCTGAATGCAATCACATCCTCTTGCTCATGTTCCTACCAACTGATATACAGAGGATTGTTGCCTTTAGTATTGGAGGCAATATATATACAGGCAGATCCTGGGTTATGGACAAGATGGGTTCTGTTGGCGTGTTCTTGAGTTGAATTTGTATGTAAATTAAAACAAGTTCATTTTTAATTCCATTTTTAAAGCTTTGGATAGCATAGAGAAGGGTTAACACCCCTGTGGTGTTTGTTTTGTTTTTGTGCCCCTGTTTCAATTTCACATCTCTTTCTGTACCTGTGATAATTGAACTTTGAAAAAAAATTGGCTTGTTGTGGAAACAAGGATTGGTGATAAAGCTTCAGTGGAAACACCTTTTGCCCATGATAACTTGTACAGGAGTCAATTTTCCTTCCTAGGGATAGATTTTCTCTCACTTCCCATTGTTTCACCCCTGTCATTTGTAAGTCAGATGTTTGTAACTTAGGCAATGCCTGTATAGATATTATGGTGGCTGAGATACCCTAAAAGTACCAGATCCAGGCTGATCTTGGAAGCTAGTCAGGATTGGCCCTGTTTAGTACTTAGACCAAAGACCACCACTGAATATCAGATGCTTTCAGAGGAAATAATTGGCTAAACCAAATCTGACTATTCCTGGCTTAAGTAAATCCAATGAAATTCATGGGGTTGCAATCAGGTAACATGCGACTTGAAGGCACACACGTACACAGACATCAGTTGTGGATAGCAGTCCCAAATGCCACAAATGTCTTAAAATTTTCAAAATGTCCATGTTGGTCACCATCACATCTTGTGGCAGTAAATGCCACATAGCAACTCAGTATTTTGTGCAGACATACTTATTTCCTATGTCCTGACTTGGCCACCAATCAGCTTCAGTAGATGAGGCCAGGTCTAGTGTTATTGTTAATGCCATATCTTCATGAAGAGTATGTCATGATCCACCTCTTATTCTCACAATTAGTCTGTTGATGTTGGCTCATAGCTATTTAAAGTTTTTATATGCCATACACTTCATCATTGACACTGCAGAAAATTTTACAATGGTGTAAAAATACTGTAATCCAACATGTCAACAAAATGAGATAAAGCTGGAGCAACACTTATTAACTTATGCCAAAAATATTTTAGTGGCTGTAGGAAAGAACATCCATTCAGGTGTTTGGTTTTGGGGATTTCCTTTTGGTTCCAGGCACTGTTTTCTTGAAACATGAATGTTCTTGAAGCTGGGTCCAAATGTTATTCCGACACCAGAGAGAGCCAACTTATTTAGAAGTTTTGCTGCACCCTTACAATGCAAATTAAAGCTTTTGTCTACATTTGTCTCTTTATTGCACCTTGCTTTATGCCAGGATTGACCTTGGTGCTAAGAAAGCATCACTTTATAAAGAAGTGATCATATGAAAATTGAGAATATGCAGTCTTTGCTCCTTGTTTTGTTACCACTCACATCTGTCACATATAAGGCAAATGCAAGCAGGTCTCACCATGTAATCTTAATGTGCAGGAAGGTTTTGTGTGAGATTGTTGTTCTCTCCACTTTACAGAAAAGAGCACTGAGGCCCCTTCTACACTGTCCTATATCCCGGGAGTCTGATCACAGATTATCTGATTTGAATTGGATTGTATGAGTCTCCACTGCCATATAATCTGGGATAAACAGATAATCTGTGATTGGATCCTGGGATACAGGTGCAGTGTGGAAGAGGCTTGTGGCAAACAAACATGAACTTGTTTGAAGATAGTCAGTAAATGTACCATTATACAAAAAAAAAAATGGACCCAACTGACTTCTTTCTGTGCCTTGATTTGTGTGTCATTTTCTTTTTGTGTTTGTTTTATTGCTTTTCTGCTTAGAACTACTTTGATGGGAAACTTTCCCCTCAAGGGAAAATGCCATGGATTGAATACAATAACAAAAAAGTGTCTGGCACAGAATTCATCATTGAGTTTTTGGAAGAGAAACTGGGAGTGAATTTAAACAAGCACCTTGGTCCACATGAGAGAGCTGTTTCGAGGGCAGTAACTAAAATGGTGGAGGAGCATTTCTACTGGTAAGTTGCTACAAATATTGGAATGCCTGAAGATTTTGGGCACGAAGCTTTACTTAATGTCTATGTCTCTAACTTGTTTAATTTCTTGCAGGTCTTAGGTTATACCTTACAAACCCAGTCTTCCTTTCAGCTTAATGTATGTCCTGTTTTCTCTTAAGATGGGATCCAAGGTAGCTTGCAATATAAGTTGAAAGAGAATGCCGCTTTTATTTATTTATCGTGTCAGAAGTGAATTGTTAAAATGTGTAGAAAAATCACAAACAATGTTAAAACTTGGCATTATTCCAAATTTTCTTTGACCAGAAGTTGACCACTCCGAATGCCTCTGATGTCGCTGTAACAAAGTGTGCATGTAGCTCAGGCAGCATTGTAGTATGTGGTCTATGGTTTGCATGCCGTGGAATCCACTTTGTAGCTCCATTTCTTAAGATTGACTCTGCATCTTGTGATGCTGGAGTGCAGTCTGTTCAGTGCCTTCCAAGTCACCCAGTCTTCTGTGTGTCCAGGAGGGTTCGACTCAGCAAAGTTCATGGAGAGGCATGCTGGGAGTTACAGTGCTCCCAACAAAATCTAGAGACCCACATAATTTCTATGCTGCACCTTCTGTTGGTGCTGAACACCTTCTGTTTTGTTCAAACTATGTATCTGTATAGGAAGGGAGGGGATTACGTAGATGCACCCTGTGTTTCTATGTAGTAATATGTATACAACACTAAATATCAGCAATAAATGTCTTCACTCACAACCTGTGAGGATGCCTGCCATAGATGTGGGCAAACGTCAGGAGAGAATGCTTCTGGAACATGGCCATACATCCCAGAAAACTCACAGCAACCTAATGTCTTCACTGTAAGAGCTGCTTGACAGTGGAATAAACAGTTATGGAGGGTGGTGGACTCACCTTCATTTAAAGATATGGACATCTTTTGGCAATACTTTTGTGTATTCCTACATGGCAAAGGGCTCTTGCAGTCCCTTACAACTCTATGATTCTATATTATAATATTATATTGAAATGTAATTGAAGGCACAATAAAATAGACATAGGAAAAGGGAAAAAAACATGTATAACACCCATCAGGTACCAGAAATAAAAATTAAAGAGACAAGAAAAATGTTTATAAATGAAATTATTGTCATATTTTGGATCACCAGGGAAATTACACTGAATATGGCTGTAATTATCTTTCCTTCTGCTTCTTCTGTTTTGCAGTAAGGATTCAAAATGCAGGGAGGGTTCCTCCCTTTTATTACATTACTCTGTAGCCACTTCCTTGTTATCTCCCTAAATTATCCATATTGATGTCTCTTGTGTTGCACTTTAGTGAGTAGCCTGGCTTCATCAATAATGAAGGATCTTAGTTGTGCTGGCATGACCCCACTTTCCTTCGCTATTCTCTCACTCCAATATGCACCCCCATTCTCTTGTTCAATCCAAGTTATGCTACTTTTCAGTCTCTGTGTGATCTGCTACATCCCTCCCTTGGGCACGTTTTGGGGGGAAACATGGCCACACAAAATTAGCTTTTCTCCTTAAAAATAATAGTAAGGGGTACTTTATGCAGGTGGGGTATCTTGATTTCTGTCAGCATTATGGTAGTAGACCCTTTCACTTTACGTAATGATAGCATCATGATTCTACTTTAGCTGCCATGGCAACATCCTATGAAATCTGTGAGTTTGTAAGCTAGTAAAGCACTAGAGAATCCTAAATGCTTCTCCTTAAGATACAGATCTCAGGATGTTATAGGATGTTGCCATGACAGTTAAAGTGGAATCGTAGTGGGGGTTTTTTTTGTCGTGTCAGGAGCGACTTGAGAAACTGCAAGTCGCTTCTGGTGTGAGAGAATTGGCCGTCTGCAAGGACATTGCCCAGGGGACGCCCAGATGATTTGATGTTTTTATCATCCTTGTGGGAGGCTTCTCTCATGTCCCCGCATGAGGAGCTGGAGTTGATAGAGGGAGCTCATCCGCCTCTCCCCGGATTCAAACCTGTGACCTGTCGGTCTTCAGTCCTGCCGGCACAGGGGTCTAACCCACTGCACCACCGGGGGCTCCGTACAATTATATATTGTAGTGGTATAATTGTACAATGAGAAAGGGCCCTGCTGAGAATCAAAATTTAAATATTGAGATGATAGAAAAGAGAAATACTTGACATTATGCCAGTGGGATGCTGAATCCATATGTCTTTTAGGGAACTATCCAAGGCACTGAGCCTATTTTAGGCATCTCCTTGCATAGATCATAAACTTCAGATTAAAACCCAGAGAAGATTCATTGCCCGATTCGCATGTCAGTCACCAGCTGTCACATTGTGAGGACCTCTTTTCAGAGGACAGACCGTCTTGGTCATACGGCAGGCTTGACCATCCTTCTCAGCATCCCCCAGATGGCTTACTGGTTAGTTTTGGAAGCTGTAGTCCAAAAAGAGAGAAGCTTTTTTGAGATCTGCCCATCCACCCCATGGGCGACTCTAGGGTATTTCACAGTTCCTCTTAGTTTGACAACTGTGAAGAGATGAGAGAAAGAAGCAGTGAGCTGGCAGAAAAGGCTGTGTAAGGTAGATGTACTGGTTTGACCCCACTTAGAGAAAATATTCTGGGATTTATAAATATTTCATCCGGAATGCATGTTGCTGCAAAACTACAGGGCCTAACTCCAGGATGCTATTTATCTCTCTGTCTCTTTGAGCTCTGCTTCCTGGAATAGTCCTCTTAAAGCAGCTGGGGAGGGCATTTGTGAGGGCAGAGTTTCTCTTAGTATCTTCCTTGCATTATTAGCCTTTGTAAGTCTTTATTAATATGCTGTGTTGACAAGCGTGCCACCAAATCCAGCAGCATGCAGTTCTCTCAAAAGGAAAATATTCAAGTGGCGCTCTGAGTGATAATTAACAATCCCATTAGACGCGACTTTCACACTCAAGCAAACACTGTTATAGAACATTATTATTAATCTATAAGACACTGTTTTGCTGCAAATTTTTCTCTAGTTGCCACTTTGCAGTTACCAATAATATAATATAATTATGAAGTGTTGGAGGAACCCAAATGCTATCTGATCTAACTGTTACTTTGTGGCAGGACCAGTTGGTTTTTAGGCCTATATCTGGGCTTATTTGGGGTGCTCATTCAGAAAATTGCATTGGATAGACCGCATCAGCTCTAGATTCTTAAATATGGTTATCACAATTTTCTGTGGGTGAGCAGAGGAAGACTGGTATATGGCATATATTCTGTATCTCAAAAACTAAAATTGATAGGGGAAAACGGGCCATTTTTGGAAGGTAAAGGTAAAGGTTTTCCCTTGACATTAAGTCCAGTCATGTCCAACTCTGGGGGTTGGTGCTCATCTCCATTTCTAAGCTGAAGAGCCGGCGTTGTCCATAGACACCTCCAAGGTCATGTGGCCAGCATGACTGCATGGAGTGCAGTTACCTTCCCGCTGGAGCGGTACCTATTGATCTACTCACATTTGCATGTTTTCAAACTACTAGGTTGGCAGAAGCTGGGGCTGACAGCGGAAGCTCACACCACTCCCCGAATTCAAACCTGCGACCTTTCAGTCAACAAGTTTAACAGCTTAGTGGTTTAACCCATTGCACCACCGGGGGTTCTCCCATTTTTGGAAACTGCAGGTCAAATATACACAGAAAGAGGTCTAACATTTGAATAAACAAAATCTGTGTTGGCCAGTGTAATGTAATACCCTTTTTGCCAAAGTCTGAAAGGCACAGCACAAAATGAAAACAGAATGGGTGGAGGGGGAGAAAATTAATATGCAAAAAGTTTTTAAAGTGTTGTCAGAAAGAAAAGCTGCAGTTCATAAGACCAGTACATGCAATGCTGTGGAAAAAGTGTTTCTCAAACTGTCCTCCTCCATGTGTTTTGGACTTCAGCTCCCAGAAATCCCAGCTAGCTTTCCAGCTGTTAGGAATTATGGAAGCTGAAGTCCAAAACATTTGGAGGAGTAGAGTTTGAGAAACACTGTTGTAGAAAAAGGTATCAACTATACTAGTACGGGGAGGGCGGAGAGGAGATGGCTACTTATGATTTCATTTAGGGAGGTTGGTAAGGCCCATGATGGGGGCACTGACAGACCCTTGGAGTTTGCCTATCTCTGTTCTGGGAGGGAGATTAGCAAGTAGGTCTGAGCTTCTGCAAGACCTACTTGTCCAATCTTTCAAGAAAATGTTGACATTTTTCAAACAGAGTATGGACTAAAATCAATGTTAATCCTACTTAGAGTAAAACTATTGAAAGAACTGGGTATCTTAAGTCACAACTGTAAACATATTCCATTGATTTCAACTGATTTATTCTATGCATGACTAAAGTTGCATTTAGTCCTGTCTGTAGGTCTAAATAAAATAAAGCATGCTAAATGGTGAAAAATTATTTTTGTCTGCTTTCTGTCCATTCTCCCTCCTATCCTGAATATTCTCCATAAATAAGTGATTAGCTATGGTTGTTATGCAGTTTTTTCTCTTTGGTAAACCTAGGTTGATGGCTAGTTGATACTTCTTTAAATACCTTCCCATATCATTCCCAACAGCATAACTGTTGCGAATCATTAAATTAACTTAATGATGACCTGGACCCGCCCTGGAATATGACCTGGATTATGTGATTTTAATTGTTGTTTTAATGTTTTAATGGGTTGGTTTTAATGTTTTTGTTTATTCACTGATATTTGTGTACATGCTGACTGAAAGGTCACCGGTTCAAATCCGGGGAGTGGGGTTAGCCCCAGCTTCTGCTAACCTAGCAGTTCAAAAATATGCAAATGTGAGTAGATCAATAGGTACTGCTTTGGCAGAAAGTTAACTGTGCTCCATGTAGTCATGCCGTCCACATGACCTTGGAGATGTCTATGGACAACACCTGCTCTTCAGCTTAGAAATGGAGATGAGTACCAACCCCCAGAGTCAGACACAACTGGACTTAATGTCAGGGAAAAACCTTTACCTTTACCTAAGTGTACATGTGGCATTGAAATTCTGTCTTTGAGAGGCTCCTTGAGTCCCCGTTGTGGTTGAGAAAGGTAGGATACAAGTATGGTAAATAAATGGTAAATATATAAACTGGAGCAGTGGACTGTGATGGGGAAATGTATCTTCTTATTCTTTTAAATTTATTTTTACACGTTTCTTTTGTCTAGAGCAAAGAAATGTATTGCACTCTGCAGTGTTTGTAAACTATTCTTATGCTTTCTAGGACCTTGGCATATTGTCAATGGGTGGACAATCTCCATGAAACTCAGAAAATGCTTTCTCTCAGTGGTCCTTTCAGTGACCTGTTGAAGTGGATTCTGTGCCATATAACCAAGGGAATTGTCAAACGGGAAATGTATGGACATGGCATTGGACGCTTCTCTGAGGAAGAAATATACAAGCTGATGGAGAAGGATATGCGCTCTCTAGCTGGTCTTCTGGGTAATGCACAGTACATTTCATTATCTTGTCTGTTACACACCGAGGCCTACATGATGGTTTCCCCAAACTGGAGCATTCCCAGGGAATTCTAAGCCCGTTCAAGTACTTTTTATTTCCACTCTTCAGGGCAGTTTAAATTAAACCAGTATTTCCCAAAATGAAATTTACCCCCACAATGGAAATCAAGTGAGGAAAGGAGAAAAGCTCGCAATAAAAGAAAGTGATCCCGGGGCTTAAGTAATGTACTGTTGATTAAGCACTTTAACACCTGAATAATTGCTATAAAGCAGAAATGGGTGAAAGGCAATTTCTGAAATATGATTACTGAGAGGGGGACAAGGAAGGACACAAATAGGGAGGAGAGGGGGATATTTCAAGAAAGAGTTTTGATTTAAACCCATAAATATCCAGGTAAAATTTAAACAAAAAGAACTGGCACATCTCAATACTTTCAGGAACTTTCCTCCTGTCTGAAAAAAACCTAAATGTCCTCATCCTTTTTTACATTTTCATCACTTCATTCATGTGGCTTTGCAACGAGATTATTTCTATTACTACATCTGGCAAGTCAACTTGTTCTGTCTTGTGGCATGCTGACACTTTGGCAATTCTACCCTCTGTTTGCGCAAGAATTAAAATGGAAGTTTCATGAAGGCCCAGCTTGACTTCCATTCTGGGCGAATAGGCTGATGGATTGCCTTTGAGTAGGATTCATGGTATTGGAGTTGAACAAGTAGAATACTAATCACTATCCAGGACCTTCTGTATTGTTCAATGGCAGATGTACCTCACCAAAAATGTTCCCTGTGGATATTTCTAAATACTATTTTATTTTAAAATTGTTATTGTTTTCTCATCATTGTCCTCCTTCTCCTTCATGATGTTGTCTATTCTTTCCAGGATTTAGCATTTTGATTCCTACGCAGTGTAGGTCAGTAGCTCCAACTAGGTTGATGAATCCACTCTGGTTTTTAGTCAGACCTTTAAAAGAACTATCCATATGGCTGGTCCTATTTTGGGTATAGGATTCAGTACTTTGAAATTTCTGGTTAAAAACAAAAAGTGGATTTACTCTCCCAAATGACATCAGAGCCACCCACTACTGCCTCACTGGCCATGTAACCTCATACAATCAGTTGAGGTTGGTCAAGATGACACATTACATCACCCAGTCATTTTCATGGCTAAACGGGGATTTAAACTTTGGTTTCCAGTGGCTCTAGTCCAACATTCATAGGAGTGAAGTCTCTAGCTTGCTGTATTGATGGTATTACAGCAGAGTCTCGCTTATCCAACCTTTGCTTATCTAATGTTCTGTATTATCCAATGCAGTCTGCATCCCACCTGGAGCCACAGGTGAAGGAAGTGAAGTGTATATTTACCTGTTGAATAATGTCCAGGGTGGGGGAAAGAAATAACCCTTGTCTGCTTTGGTACTAAATTTGTAAATACAGTAATTACTGTAGATCCATGGAAGCCGTGCTACCTCTCTATTCTGCCTTGGTTAGACCACATCTGGAATACTGTGTCTAATTCTGGGCACCACAGTTGAAGGGATATATTGACAAGCTGGAATGTGTCCAGAGGAAGGCAACTAAAATGATCAAGGGTCTGGAGAACAAGCTCTATGAGGAGAGGCTTAAAGAGCTGGGCATGTTTAGCCTGAAGAAAAGAAGGCTGAGAGGAAACTTATTAGCCTTGTATAAATATGTGAGAGGAAGTCATAGGGAGGAGGGAGCAAGCTTGTTTTCTGCTGCCCTGGAGACTAGAACAATGGCTTCAAACTACAGGAAAGAACTTCTGGACTGTGAGAGCTGTCCAGCAGTGAAACTCTGTCCCAGAGGCTCCTTCTTTGGAGGCTTTTAAACAGAGGCTGGATGGCCATCTATCGGGGGTGCTTTGAATGCAATTTTCCTGCTTCTTGGCAGGGGGTTGGACTGGATGGCCCACAAGGTCTCTTCCAACTCTCTGATTCTAGGATTCTATGATTCTACTACATAGCGTTACCATGTATTGAACTGCTTTTTCTGTCGATTGGTTGTAAAACATGATGTTTTGGTGCTTAATTTGTAATCATAGGCTTTTCCTTAATCCCTAATTAGCCAACATCTTGCTTATCCAACGTTCTGCTGGCCCGTTTATGTTGGATAAGTGAGACTCTACTGTATGTCTTCTGAAGGCACAAATCCATAGTTTTGAAGAGCATTCACCGCTTTTCATCTGCTTCATTTTGGTGTGTGGCTTTTTCTGTGTTCTTTTTTGTTCACTTCCAAATGTTGAACATACTTCAACTCCTGCATCAATGGGGGATACAATTATGGACTTTAAATGGATATGCAAAACAATGGATAACAAACCCTGTAGAAATGAAATAATGCTGGCCCATAGAAGCATATTTTGTCAAAATGGAAAATGAAGCTAACAGGGTTGTACTGTACTTTAAAAAGTCAGGCATACTGAGAGGCTTTCATAAGCTACAATATATTATTATGTGCATGCATGAATTTCTCATTCTATTTACAATGCAGTCTTGATGCTTTTAACCCTGACTGTTCCTGTAAAATTATTATTTTCTCATCTGGTGATTCTGAGCACCTGAACCAGAATTCTGGGATCTGGGTGTGTCTTCTGGAATGCAGAATGACTCATTCCACTTCTTTCCAATATTATGTCTTAAATCTTGCATTGCTTTCCATCTGATGGATTAATTGGCCCAAACTCCCTGCCATGACTTCAGACTACAGTTCCCCCTTTCCATTCTCCAGGCTGATTAGGCTGCATGCACAAAGGACACTGATGTGATGAAAGGGTTGGCTGCCTAGCTTTGATTCAAAGATAATAGCAGGGTGCTATTAAGCACTATGAGACTAAGTGAGTGGGTATATTAGGAGGGACTAAAAAAGGATAGAAATGGCAACACACAGAGGAATGTTTTCTGAGACTGTTTTATTTTGCAGGTGATAAAAAGTACATAATGGGACCCAAGCTTTCCACTTTAGATGCCACCGTGTTTGGGCACCTTGCACAAGCAATGTGGACGCTACCAGGAACAAGACCTGAAAGGCTAATTAAAGGTAGGACACTAACCAGTGTTGTCTATGATGCAAGTTCACAAGTGTCAAAGGTATTGTCTGAAATCTTACTGGGCAGTTACGAATTCCTAACTATTATAGTTATGGAATTACACAGTAAATTCTGACTTGACCTCTCGCATCCCATTTACCAATCCAAAATCACTGTGATGGACAGGGTTCATTTCCTTGTCACCTGGAAGATTGTTGACTGACAATCCCTTCCCCTCCAATGAGTGATCTCTGGTGCAACAGTCACTAACTGAGACAATTCCTTTTCTCAATTCCCTGTCACACCAGAGATTGATCACATGAGGTGGGTAGGAATGTCAATCAAGTGTTTCCCGAGTGACATGAGAACAGACCCTATCAAGTGCTGTGTCTGCTTCTTGGCAACCAGAGACTGGGAGAGCTTCAAAGTCCTATGTATCCCCTAATGGGAGTTTGGCCATTATCTTACTTTTACTGTCTGTCATTGCTCCTCTTCCTCTTCTTGAGCATCAGCATTACCATATTTATCTACACTCAGCTTTTCCTCCCAGACTGGGACTCAAAATGATTTATGGCACTGTCCTCAAACCTTAGTTCCTATGGGTACTTTAGGCTCTAGTACCCAACATGGCCAAGGGTCAGAAATTTTTAAGATAGGTGAAATGTAAATCATATGGGGCTCCAAAATCTGAGAACCGCTGCATTACTTTGTTGCTGATATTTGAGCAAAATAGTGGCATGCAGGAGACCCGAGCCTGCAGTTTCCTGCTCTTGGCTACCATCCTCTTAAAAAAAACTATCTGGAATTATATGGATATCCTAAACCACATGCCAAGGCAGGCTTCCCCTACTTCCCCTACTATGCCCCATATGTGTCCAGCCCATCTTTTGAGCTGTGCTGATCTGATGACCACAAGTACTGCATGAAAGCTAATGTGGTTGCGCCTTTCAGATCCCAAATGCCATGCACACCAAGCATATTAATTGTATCTGAATAATCTCACTTCTGTGCAGCTCTTCCACATATTCAGGGTCATGTAAAACTTACCAGACTCTTGGAGACTGGTGCTTGTTTTGCTCACATCACTCTGCATAGTACTGAAACTGCAGTTTGGCAGATGGACAAGGTTTCATTCCTTTCATGCCATTCCATGTCACTCTACCTGAATGTAGAAGCATTTTTCTGAAATTCTTTAGGATGTTTTTTTTTTTGTAAAGATCCTTTTTAAGTGCTGGATTTATCTCAAGCAATGCTGCCACCTGGTGGCACAAAATGCCTTCAAACCAACACATTTTTCTACTGCATTATAGTAAGATATTAAGACAATAAGAAATCTAGTAGTATCTTTGGGACTATCTGAGACAATAGATTTCTAGCACAAACTTTTTGAACTGAAGTTTATTTAATATGATGACAACTGTATTCCATGAATGCCTGTGCTAGAAATCCCTTTTCCCAGTTAATCTCAAAGATTCCTAGTTAATACTAGATTCTTTGTTGTCTTTTTATGCGAACACAGATGAAAACAGATAATATTTCTTCAACTAGTACTAAAGAAACAGAATGTTTGGAGACATTTTAATGGTATGTTTTGAACTACATTGTCCCCGTGTAACGTTTTTTTCTGTTCATATGCTTTTTATCTTTTTCCAAACTGCAGTTGGATAGTTTTAAAGCAAAACAAAGCAAAAATGTCATTCTTTCATGATACCCTCTTGCAAAATGGTCACCCTCATTCAGCAACAGTTAAGTTGTGTGTGTGTAGTGCTCTGAGATTAAAAACAATAAAGATTATACAAGTGGGGGGACGGACCATTCCTCCACCAGAAATTGGTTAGGTGCCCTATTAATGAATGGCAGAGATGGCAATAATATTTTATAAAAATAATTGGAAGACTTGTTTCCCAAGAAGTAAAAAAACAAAAACAAAACTTTGATGATGAAATCTTGGACTGATGGGGATCACCACAAAAGCATGTTTCTATGCAGAAATTCAAGTTTCTTTGCAGAAAAGGCTGTTTTCTGTACAGAAAATGCTTCAATTGGGGATATTTCATGCTCAATTTTCACATGGCTAGGTTGAACAAAAATAGCATTTTCTATGCAATAAACATGGTTTTTTTTACAAAAAAATATCAGGGCAAAAATATTTTATGAACAGAAAAGGCTGTTTTCTGGTAAATTTTCACATGGTTGGGTTGTACGAAAAATAGCATTTTCTATGCAATAAACATGGTTTTCTTTCCAAAAAAAATAAATAAATAGAAAAAGCTGTTTCCTGCACAGAAAATGTTTTATACACAAAACATTGATATGTGAATTATGTGCAGAAAAAGTTCCAAATTGCAAATAGACTCTGAAGCTTGCATAATTTTCAAATTCTTTCTCAAATATTGAAAAAAATGTTCAAAATTACTTATTGCTTTCTTTGAGAAGAAAATTAATGATGAATTACATCCCCAGTGGACGGATGGTGATCAAAGTCTTGTTTATGGATTATTCTCAAGGAAATGTCATCTAGAAAACACTTGGAAGACTGCTGGATAGGATCTTTTTAAGTGTTGTTTTATGTTCTGTGATATTATTTTATTGTAATGTTGATATTTTCTGCCTGTATTTTATGTGTTTTATTGCACTATTGTGTACTGTCTGTAAGCTGCCCCAAGACGCTCCAGGGAGATGGTGGCAGGATATAAATAAAGTTGTTGCTGTTGTTTTTGTTGTTGTTTTTGTTGTTGTTGTTGTTGTTGTTGTTGTTGTTGTTATCCTGGCTCAATTATTCAATTCTGTTGTTGTTTCTAGTAGAGATTTATTTAGTGACATTTTGTCCCCTTTCTTTTAGTTATTATTTATTTTTACTTATATCCTGCCTTTCCTTCAAAGAGTTCAAGGTAGTACATAAAGCTTACTTCTTGTCCACTTTAAATTGTTACAACAATCCCAAGGGATGGATCTGAGGGAATGAGTTGCCCAGGGTCTTTCAGTATGTTTCATGACTTTGTGGGAATTTGGATCTTTTAGTTTCCAATTCCAGCATTATCTCCCCTATAGTGCATTAGCTTTAAGAAGCCAAGACCATAGTCTTTTCATATTTTGTGCACCTAAGTAATAACTCCTGGCCCAAAGCATCCTATTTTACCAAGCAGCAATAATCCCACAAGATGTCAGTCTGATAAACTGGAAAATAAGGCACCTTTCTCTTCCCATTTGTGGAGAAAACTGTGACAATCATAAACAGGACCCCTGCCAGTATTGTAGCCTCACTCTCTAGCAGTAGAAGAGAGCTGGAAACAACTTGTGCCTCGGTCCCCAGCTGAACAGACCTCTACATCTGGTTACAGCTGCTGCCTGGTTAAGTAGGTTTGGGAGGGCATTTACGATTGTGGCAATGGTGGCACTATCATGACAACATAGTCTTAGTGAATATGGAGTAGTCATGGATCCAAAACTCTAGATTATAAATCCATAACTTCAGTAGAAAATGACCTAATTTTTGTCTTATATCAGACCAGTAGTTCATTGGTCTCGATATGCTTTCTGAATAAGTAGGTTTTCCATGAAGGATTTTGAGTAAGGTTCCATGAGAATAACCATCCCAGGATAGTCACCCTTCACATTTGTGGGCTTAGGTTTTGCCAATTTGATTATTCACAGATTTGAGCAACATGATCCCTATACAGGTGTTCCACTGTGACTCTGTGGTCAACATATGCTGGAGGTTGGCCATAGATTTGTGCTGGAAAACCTAAAGATTCCTAGAGAGGTGTTCTTAGGTTAAAAAGTGTTATTTTATACAGTTTTCCCACTTCTGCCCCAACCCTAGCAAATATTGGCATTGAATGTTTGCCACTTTTTCTTGTAAATTGCTGAGTGCCCTCAGAGAGATCGGGCAGAATAAAAATAAAAATTATTATTTTACTGACACAAAAACACAGTATGTCACAGCAAACGAGATAAAAATGTTGGATTTTGTATCACAAAATCACAAGTCAAACACTTCCCAAGTGTTTAGGACTGTGTAATATATTTTTGAATGATGCGCTCAGATCCAATAAGGTGGCCTTTTGCAGTTGACAGATCGTGATTTTGTCAATGTTTATTGTTTCCAAATGCTGGCTGAGATCTTTTGGCACGGCACCCAGTGTGCTGATTACCACTGGGACCACCTGTAGTGGTTTATGTCAGAGCCTTTGCAGTTCAATTTGAGGTTTTGGTAACGGCTGAGTTTTTCGTTTTTTTTCATCAATTCCACTGTCACCTGGTATGGCGATATCAATAATCCAGACTTTTTTCTTTTCCACAATTGTAATGTCCGGTGTATTGTGTTCCAAAACTTTGTCAGTTTGGATTTGAAAGCCCCACAGTATTTTTGTGTGTTCATTTTCCACTACCTTTGCAGGTTTATGATCCCACCAGTTCTTTACTATTGGCAGGTGGTACTTGTGAAATAAGATGATGATGATGATGATGATGATGATGATGATGATGATGATGATGATGATGATGATGATGATCATCATCATCATCATCATCATCATCATCATCAGATATGGAGGGCTGAGTGCAATTGCCCTCAGCATCTGGTATCTGAACATTTCTGAACATTTCTTTTGGTTAATGTTGTGGATTTGTTCCCAATCTCCCTTTTACACCAATTCATAGTTTTGGTAACTATATAACTGCATTCTCTCCCCCCAATAACACTTCCTGCTTTTTCCAGGTGAACTGATTAACCTTGCTATGTACTGTGAGAGAATAAGAAGGAAATTTTGGCCAGAGTGGCATCATGATGACGACAATACCCTGTATGAGTCAGAAGAAAGCAGTGAAGCAAGTAAGACACAACCCCTGCAGGACTTCAGCTTTTACTCAAGGACAGAAACCTTTGATGATGAAGGAACTGAGAACAGCTTTTCCCGAACCCCTGATACTGATTACACAGGACACTCCCTCTTTGATTCTGATGTGGACATGGACGATTACACAGATCATGAACAATGCAAGTGATGAGTCCAAAAGAGACCTCTCCACTTGCATCAGAAACACCATCGCCTTTCAAGGTTCGCGCCAGCTGCGCCAGGTTCAAATGAGGGACGACATGTTTGGAGAGAGACCCTTGATGCTGTTTTCCTGTGCTATTTGGACCTTTTCAGTGTTTTTTCGTTTTGTTGAAGCTTTCCAAGGGATCCTAGATAGACATTTTTAAAATTTTGCTCAACAAAATGGAGACAAGTTTACAAGGAAGATAATGGGGGAAGGGGATGGGGATTAAAAGAAGAAACCCATGGAGAAGAAAGGAAGATGCAGCGTGAAGTGATGGAAATGGCTAACTAGACAGCAGTGTCCTCCATCCTCAGAAATAGATTGAGGAGAACTGAAGGAGAGGGAACTCCTTAGACTCATTCAACACAGAATTCCTCGAATGTGTTCAAAACACCAAGGAATTATGAAATTCTCGTTCCCATCCATGTCTTTTCACACTCTGGTGTGGCAGGTGACTGCTTGCTTTTTGTGTGTGTAGAAGGTTTGAGAAATATCTGGTCTCCAATTTAATGGAGGAAGGACCAACTTTTTTAAAAAAAAAAAGTAGGATGAGGGTTTTTTTTGGTGTGTGTGTGCATTCAGAATCCAGACATTGCTTGTTCTGATGTGATAAATGTGCTTAATAATGCTTAACTTACTTTGCAAACATTCAAAAAAGTGTGCTGAGTTTGACATTTTGCCTGTTTATAAAGTCTCCTGCCACACAATGGGATGATGAAGGAACAGAATGCAGGATCAAGTTGTACCATGGAAGAAATGGCTAATGAATTGGAAAGATGTGAGTCTCAATGTCTAGATTGCTTAGGGCAGCGTTTCTCAACCTGGGGGTCAGGATCCCTGGGGAGGGGTCGTGAGGGGGGTTTCACAGGGGTTTCCAAAGGCCATCAGCAATCACATATTTCGGATGGTCTTAGGAACCCCTTTGGCAGAGAAGGCTGAAGATTTCTCTGCCTGTCCTTGGGGTTCTGTGTGGGAAGTTTGGCCCAATTTTATCATTGGTGGGGTTCAGAATGCTCTTTAATAATAGGTGAACTGTAAATCCCAGAAACTACAACTCCCAAATGTCAATATCTATTTCCTCCAAACTCCATCAGTGTTCATATTTGGGCATATTGAGTATTCATGCCAAGTTTACTCCAGATCCATCATTGTCTGAGTTCACAGTGCTCTTTGGATGTAGGTGAACTACAACTCCAAAACTCAAGGTCAATCCCCACCAGACCATTCCAGTATTTTCCATTGGTCATGGGAGTTCTGTGTGCCAAGTTTGGTTCAATTCCATTGTTGGTGGAGTTCAGAATGCTCTTTGAATGTAGGTGAACTATAAATCCCAGCAACTACAACTCCCAAATGACAAAATCAATCCCTCCAACCCTATCAGTATTCATGTATTTGTGCCAAATATGGTTCAGTGAATGAAAATACATCTTGCATATCAGATATTTACATTGCAGTTCATAACAGTAGCAAAATTACAGTTAAGAAGTAGCAACAAAAATAATATTATGGTTGGGGGTCCCCACAACATGGGGAACTGTATTCAGGGGTTGCGGCATTAGGAAGGTTGAGAACCACTGGCTTTGGGCCCTCAAGGACATTAATTCCCACCCCAGTTGTTAAGTCTGTTCCACACACATACATTTATCCCAAGCCATAATAATGTTAGGTTTTCTGCTAGTATCTAGTAAGCTGCACAAAAAGGGTTTTCTACTGATGATGCATATGGAATACATCTGTGCGGTAAAAATTGAATTGAATCTTGAAAAAGTTACTTTTGAACAGCAACATTTGGAATCCTACTGAAGATGCTAAAAGGTGTGGCTGGAGAATTAATTTTTCAAATGATGAGTCTGATAATATTTTACTTCCTCACTTGCAGTATGGCAAAAATGTGGGATTGGAAAATCCCATGATTTTGTTTCAGAACAGTGCAGGCAGTGTCGAGTTTATATTTTGGAAAGGAAAAATGCTGCTAGATTTGTATATACTATGACCTGAAGGATCTTCCCTGACAGGGTATCTTGAAGCTAATCATGGTTAATCAAGGAGAAGCACATGACACATGTTGAAAGAGATTATCATGTTCAGTAGGTCTAGACATTTGAAATACTGGAATATTAATTTAATTACAAAATAATAATTTTGAATCATAGCCCCAAAAAGTCAGTTTCCCAAGTTGTGATCATGTCAGGTGTATCTGGGCAAAATCTAACTGATATTATTTAAGTTATTTATCTCACATCTCACTCCTTAATGTGCCAGTTAATTCTGCTGTAGGGCTAGTTGCTCTGTTAGCAACCTGAAAATGTGTTTAATCAAAGTTTGGTGTTGTAACCTTCCTTTCTTTCTGTGTACTGAATCTGATTTATAATCTCATCATATCTGCACAGCTGTTGCATGCAGTGCTGAGATGAGTACTATTAAACTGATAAGGGTGTTTCAGCAATGTAATCACATAGAGGGAATATTTGGTTCCTGGGGTTTTCTTAATCATTTCGTTATCCATATCTTCTTTTGAAGTGTAGTGTGAGAACTGTTGTTGATCCCAGAACCACAGAGTTCTAATCACAGGGTATGTTCATTAGCGTCCCAGTGCTCAACTGATAGCTCTTATGAACAGAAAATCAAAGCATGCTGTAATTTTGGGGAGGCTAACCAGGCCTCAGTTTTTCTTGTACAAATACAAAATGTGCCTGAAAAGACAGAGAGGGTGGTAGGAATCACATGTGCCTTGTCTGTGACCTTCTGACTTGGTGATGGATTTCAACTGAGGCCTTAAGTCTAGTGAGCTGAAAAAATATAATAGGGTTGTCCTTTTCCTTTCCTCTAAACCAGTGGTTCTCGACCTGTGGGTCCCCAGATATTTTGGCCTTCAACTCCTAGAAATCCTAACAGCTGGTAAACTGGCTGGAATTTCTGAGAGTTGAAGGCCAAAACACCTGGGGACCCACAGCTTGAGAACTACTGCTCTAAACCACTGCAACTTTCCAAACTGAATACAAGGTTGAATGCCCCCCCCCCTTTTTCTGGGAATGATGGAGTCTAAGAGCCTTCTTATCTTCAATAAAAATATAAATATTACCAGAGTGGCTTAGAAATCCATATAAAACTCTTTGTAATCTATATTAGGATAAAAAACCAGACATTATATCAGCCTTACCAGTTTAACCAGAAGGGGGGAAAAAACAAAGTTGCTCAGTGCAGTCTGAAATGCTTAGGAAATAAAGTCTTTGATATCATATTGACAAGATTTGGGTGCATATCTGGACAGATTACTACAGGAGTAAGGTACCCAAGTAACAACCATGCCCATCTCTTTGGCCCCCATTCAACTCAGGTGCTGATGCCAGTTGAACCAAGGGGTCTTTAAGTGTGATGAATGATCTCTGAAGTAAATATTAATACATTTATTTTCATGTCAGGAGTGACTTGAGAAACTACAATTAGCTTCTGGTGTGAGAGAACTGGCTGCTTGCAAAGACATTGCCCAGGGGATGCCCGGGTATTTTATCCTCCTGTGGGAGGCTTCTCTCATGTGCCTGCATGGGAAGCTGGAGCTGACAGATGGGAGCTCCCCGGATTTGAACCGCCAACCTTTTCGTCAGCACTCCTGCCAGTACAACTGATTGCACCACCAGGGGCTCCATTTTAAAACATGGATAAATTCAAGCTATATAAGGCAGATTTTGAGCTACGGATTTTGAGCCACGGAACAGGGGAGGAGTCAGGAAGGACTCAAGCCTTCTTTGACATAGACTGAAAGGGTGGAGTCTTTCCAAACTGATAGGACAAAATTTGACCACCAAGATTCCTTTTTAATTGAGCCCCTTCAGTAATGATAAATCAACAGTGCACTAAACTATTGTTATTTTGCTGTAGCTCCCATGGTACTCAGATTGTTACCACTTTTTGTTGGATGATGGTAGCAATGTTGTTTGTAATTGCTTCAATGGAATGTGCTGTATTTTCATTATTTCATTGCAAATATACTTATAAGTAGTCTAAATTAATAATGGCCTCCTTGCTAATGTTGAGTTTACACCCACACATTAAAAACACAGTAAATTCACAGTAACACAGTGTTTCCTCTTTCTTTTTTTTGTTAAAAATAATAATTGATAGTCCTGATTTGGTAGGGAAAATCCAGATTCATTCTCTTTCATCTCAATTTGAAGATACTTTAAAAACATTTGAGATTCTGTCTTCTCCACCTACTTTCTCACTTTGTCCTTTGTTCACTTGTGCTACTACAACTTGAACTCAAAATGAAAAATGTTTTACACCAATAAGCTCACCTAGTTTTGATTAAAATCTTGTCCCCAGAGGCTCGAGCAGAAGCAAACTCCAGCAGCCTGGCCTTGATTTGTGAGTCCTTCCATGTTGGTAACTTTGCCGTCAATGCACCCCAGTTTATATTTACAAAATGTTGGAAAGATGAAAATATATATGTCTCTTTCCAGGCTGAACAAGAAATTGCTGCACAATTGAAGTGTATTGTATGTGTGCTAGTGTAGATCTTTTGGATGTCATTTGTTTTTAAGTCTTCTAAGCACAATAGGCCTTTCTCTCTCTTCCTCTCTGCCCGGGCATTCTGTCAATCTGTAGAGTAACTTTGAGGAGGCAAAGCTCCAAGAATTGAAAGAAACAACAAATGCCACAGCATTATGTTTTTGCTGTATCTCCCCACTCCCTTTTTAAAAAATATAAGAAATGCATGAATGTATTTATCACATCACATGCCTTTTATTTCGTAGGAACAAAACTCAGGTCATTTTGGAAGAAGAAGCAAGCAACTTGTTTCCTTTTTCCTGGTTAGTTCAATTCAACAGATTTTTTAAATGAAAAAATCTAGATGGAGATAAGATATGTATCTAAATGCACGCCTTTCAGGTATCTAAACCTATTCACTTGTAAAATATAGTTGCAGAAGAATTGTTATTTACTTGCAGAAATAGTTTATTTATTAATTAATTTGCCGTTGAAGGCTTTCATGGACAGAATCACTAAGTTGCTGTGAGTTTTCTGGGTTGTATGGCCATGTTCCAGAAGCATTATCTCCTGATATTTCTCCCACTTCTATGGCAGGCATCCTCAGAGGTTGCGAGATCTGTTGGAAACCTGGCAGTGAAGTTTATATATCTCTGGAATATCCAAGGAGGGAGAAAGAACTCTTGCCTGTTTGAGGCTTAAGCAGCTGAGGGAGAAAAGGAAAGGGCCTGAGGCTATTAGGAATGGTAGGAGTTGAAGTCCAAAACCCCTGAAGGGCCCAAGTTTGCCCATGCCTGATCTATACAATATTCATATTTGGTTATACCCTCCCCTCCTCCCACGCTGCTCAATTTAGTGACTTCCTGTCCCTTGGATTGGAGACATTCATACACAATTCCATTCTTCCTTTCTATTACAGTGTTTTTCTATCCTTTCTCCTGGTCTGATATTTATTATTTACTAATTGCCTACATCGATTCTAACAGGTTAAATAATGAAGCCATCCAAAAAAAAATCCTTTTTGCTTCTTTTTTTAAAAAACAAAGTTTAGAAAGGCTTCCTAGTCTTTGATACAGTTTGTTTGCTAATTTGTCCATTTCTACTATTTTAAAGACTTTAACTATCCATTCTTCTATTGTTGGGAGCACTGCCTTCTTCCATAACTGTGCATATACCATTCTTGCTGCTATTATCATGAAGTGCAATACTTTGTAGTTTAATGATTTTTGTATTGGTTCATTCATATACACAGTAGAGTGTCACTTATCAAACATAATTGAGCCGGCAGAACGTTGGATAGGCAAAAATGTTGGATACATGGTAACATTATGTAGTAATTACTATATTTATGAATTTAGCAGCAAAACATCGCAATGTATTGAAACAGCAGTGGATCTGGGCGGGAGGCAGACTGTATTGGATAATGCAAAACGTTGGATGAGCAAAGGTTGGATAAGCGAGACTCTACTGTACATGTATATAGTTTTGTTTAATTGTTTTTTTCATGAATATGTAAATTGAAAATGAAAAAAACATATTAATCCCTAAAGAAAAAAACCCAGATATTTCATGGCCTATTAAAGTGAGAATTGATTGCTATTTTTATAACATGGTGTTTGCTTAGGACTAACTACAATTGACCCTCCATATTTGCTGTTTTAACTTTTGTAAACTTGATTATTTGATCAATATTATTTTCTGCCTAGGAATCTGTAGGTCCTCCAGTATGACATTTTAGTACACTTCCACTAGATTTGTGCTTGAGGGCCTAGTGGTTCCTATAAAAAACTTCTCTAGGCATTTATAGGTCCTCCAGTGTGATTTTGGGATCAATTTTCCGCAGCAATTCACCATATAGCTGCGCTGACATAGATTCATAGAGTGGTGTTTTTTCAGGCTTTAAAAAGGGATTATTTTTATTTGTGGTTTTTCCACATTTCATAGGGCACAAAACAGAGACCTGGTGGTCTAGATCCCTGCTCCCTAAACTTTGGGTTCTGACCCCAAATGGAGTCTCCTTTGCTCAATACTGGGGTCACGAAAAATTTGTGACCCCATTTCTGAATGCCACGCATTTACACAAATCTATTGGAAACAACACACCATGTTTACAGTGGACTCCGCAGAAAATGCTTTAGCTGTATTCCACAAAAACAAAAGTCAGACTGTTTAGCAAGCTTTGCAAATGCTGGTTTGTTATCAGTTAATGTTTGATTTTTATACCTATATACTTTGGGTCATGTAAAAAATTTTCAGGCAGAAATGGGGCACGAGTGGAACGTTTAAGAAACTCTGGTAATTTATTTCCAAAAATTAGTCCTTTAGGTGTCTTGGACTTCAACTCCCAGAAGCCTTAGCTGCCTTAGCCAATAATAAGGGATTCTGGGATATGAAGTCCCAAATGCCTGGAAGCTTGGAGTTTGGGCCCTTCAACACAGCCCTATATCCCAGAATATCAAGGCAGAAAATCCCACAATATCTGCTTTGAGCTTGGTTATCTGAGTCCACACTCAAATAATGTGGGATTTTCTGGGATATGGGGCTGTGTGGAAGGACCCTCTGAGAAACACTGATTTAGTCAATAACAAGGCCAGGTAAGATGGACAGCTTAGATGCACAAAAGAAACTCCTGTGAAGTAGGACATGACACCTCTCTTTATCTCAGGGCCCTTCCACATAGCCCTATATCCCAGAACATCAAGGCAGAAAATCCCACAATATCTCAGATAATGTGGGATTTCCTGCCTTGATATTCTGAGATATAGGGCTGTGTGGAAGGGCCCTCAGAGTGACAACACATTGGGTGGTGCTACATGCAGACCAGGGATCAGAAAGCCTTTGACCTTCCAGATGTTTGGAATGACATCTCTCCCAATGACTTAGCAGTTACCATGCCAGGCGGAAATGATAGCAGTCAAGGTCCAAAGCATCTAGATCACCAAAGATTTCTCCTCTCTGAGGAAGTCACTATTGAAAGGATGGCTGTTATGGATAATTACAGTTAAATAGGTATTTGCTGGCATGAATAAATGTGTTGCCTCCATGTTTTGCAATTCACATAGCATTACAATAACAAGGAGTCCATCATCAGTCAGGGCAGAAAACAGCTGCTGGTTTGTAAGTGTTAGCCCAGCTGACCTTTCAGAGATCACTCCGGGGTGCTGTTAACACAATGAGATTTTGTTTGGTATTTGTCTTTGTACTAATAACCAGAACCTGGAAAAATTTACTTTTTTGGACTCCAATGCCTAGAATCCCCTGCAAACTATGTTTGCCTGCGTGTCTGCCAGTATGGGCTCTCTGGCACTGGTAATGTCTTATATCTGACCCTTTCCTCCTTAATCATAAGTGGTGGAAACTATTAGAGTGGTGGAAATTATTGCAGAAGCCAAGAGCACTGCAAAATGGGGACAGAAAATAATGAGAATTTTAAAGCGCTTAAAACTTTACTTCTTCTTCTTCTTCTCTCTCGCTCTCTCTCTCTCACTCTGTGTGTGTGTGTGTATGTGTGTATATACTCCTTAATGGTGCGGGTGGATATGAGCAGTGCTCTGGTTTGACAGGTTTGAAGGTTATGCCTGAGGGTTTTCTTTTGTTCTTTTGTTGCTGCTGTTATTGTCAGGCGATTATGGGTCTTTTGCTATCCTTTGGTTTGACATCTTGAGGATTAGTGGGGTCTTTGTGCTGAACAGGAGCTATGATGCACAAACCACTTTGTATGATACCTTGCCTGCTCAACCTAATATGGTGCTAGCTAGCTGTGTTTGCCCTGATCTTCAAGGTGAGAAGGATCACAATGTGATGGGGGTGCATTTTGTTTCTATTGCTATCGATAATAACCATAGATCTTCTAAAATCCAACAAAAGAAAGAGTTTATTGTATAGAGTCATTTTGAATAGAAAAACATGACCATAAGGTGACATTTTCTTTTTATTGTCTGAGTTAGAAAAGATTACACGAGTCTTTTCTCCATATGTTTAGAGTTGGAAACATATTTAAGTATAGTTTAACAAGAGAGTGTTTGCAATGTCCATCAGGACATAGTTAAATATAATGTTGAGCAAATGGAGGCGCATACAAAAGCTTTGTTGCAACTGTATGGTTGGAAAATGTCACCATGTGGTGTCTTCCTTTGGTTATAAATGATCACATTGGTGCTCTTTGGAGCTGGTGCCACCATTTGTGCTGCATAATATATGTGGTTGAATTAAAGTTCACTGAAGAAAACACAGTGGAATTGTATAAACAGCATGAGTTGAATATGGTGGTAATCATAAGAGATTAGCATAAAATTGCATATATACATTCAGTCTCAAATTAGTGTTCCTCAATGCTTTGAATGCTGTTCCAAAAGCACATCCTGTCCAACATAATGCTATGCGGAATGAGTGCATCTATGATGGAATATACACCATATCCTGTATTCCAAAAGCCTATTGTGTTCACTCACAAAATTAGCCATTGCGGTACCAATATAATGTGGCAACCAGGATCTGGCTGTTGTTGCTGTTCCACTCCTGTGACTTAACCTCACCCAAAGGAAAGGAGGATTTGTTGGCTTGTCTCATTTTCACAGAGCTGTGTGCTTCTTTGTGTGTTTCTTTCACCA